CGTGTGGTTTGGCCACCCCACGAACACTACAGGAATTGACGGATTGTGTTTAAATGATGTTTTGAAATGAGAACTGTGAAACGTCTTGATTTTCTATGAATTCAGTTTCATTGATTTTTAAGTCTTCCGCTTTATTATTGATGTTACGTATTATTATTTCAAGTTTATATACAATATGTTCACTGAGCCATGTGCTTAGCCGTATTCTTGTTTCTTGACACGGCAGGTTCCAAGTGATTCTAATAAGGGACGAGACTTGAGATCGAGCGTTTGACTTTTTGGAGTTGGTAAACTCGTTGGTAGATGTATAATATTCTAAACTTATAAATAGTTGTTAGAATGTAATATTTTGGATTGTAAAGCATGTTTTAGAAGTTAATCTACGTTTGAAGTTTATTAGTAGCTCTGCAATGTTTGTGTCTTTGAATTAAGTCCTGTTAGTGACACCGCCCGTTCCGGACCACGGGGACGGGGGATGTTACACGCCATACATAATGTCAAACGATAATACATGATATGAAAATGTTGGGAAAACATAATATCACAATATTAAACGATAATGTCAAACATCATCCTAAAAAGGGATAGATAATATAAAATGGGGAAAACACGATATGAATCATTCTTCCATAAGTAACTTAAGAAACTCCATCATTGCCACGTGTGTCTTTGGAACCATAAATTTTTCACGGACTTGCTTTTTTAAGAAGATGTGTAAAGCTTGGCTATAACATCCTTGAACCTTCTTCAAATTCTAGAAAACATGTCACAATGTCCATGCATTCTTGTGTCGTTGGTGAGGAATTATTCTGTGATGAAAAAGTTTGTGTGCTTCATGATGATTGTGCCTCCAATACGTTATCTAGTTTATCCTCAATGAGGAAGTTACGAAAGATTTTCTCTTGGTTGAATGGGTAGGAGCAACAATATTCGACTTCTTCCTTTTACTCGAACTACTTTGAGGGAAAAGATGTTTATCATTGTCGCCTAAATTCACTTCATCACTATCTCCTTTCCCTTCATGATCTTCTTCATCTTCAACATTAGTTGGACCGCTATTGTTTTGACATTCAACGGGAGCCTTAGTCTTATCTCCAACGGCAACGAAATCCCGAAATAAAGGCTCATAATAAACTTGATAAATCTCCAAATTTAAGTCCCTAAACTTGGCAAGATCTTTATCTCCATGTGTGTTAATGGCTCTTATTAGCAAATTTCACTATGAATTCATAAAAAAGTAATAGAATACAAAATAATATATATAAAATAGTAAGTATTATCTTTATTTTTTCATCCCACCACACTGGTGATTCAACAATTGTCTTTCTCACGGGATCCCATCCAATGCCAGATTCAATCCTCATTAAACGATCATACAACTTCCATTCTTTCTTCATAATGTCCCATTTGTTTTTAAGTTGCTTCTTGTCAAAAGATTTTCTTGTTTGTTCCTTAATCTTCTTCTCTATGTTTCCCCACCCAAGCTTATTGAAGTGACTACCAGGTCTGTTCCTATTTTTAACCTCATTCATGCACAAATCAATAAACACTATAAAGGTAGTATTATCCCAAACAAGTTTTGGCTTATTCTTTTAGATGTATCACTAGCAATAAAGTTAGCATTGCTCGCGTCCATTACCTAAATAAGAAAGTTAATAAGAAGACCACTAATGTATTCAGTTTCCCTGTTATGTCGTTACATGGGTTTTGCATATATATATATATATATATATATATATATATATATATATATATAGGGTTGGGTTCACGTGA